TCACAGGGGCGGCGGCGGCGTGTTCGGGTCCACGTTGGCAAGTGGGACGGGCACAAGCGAGTTTTTGGGCCCGTGTTCAGTGGCGGGTGGGAAGTGCCGGTCCAGTATAGCCCCGGGGAAGTTTCTAGGCAAATACCGGCACTTCATAGGGACCCCCTCTGTACGCCAACACAACAACACCAACAACAACAACAACAATGAACAAAAACAACAACACGATGCAAATGGCGCAGGGGTCATGACGGGCGATCCGGTAACAGTCACGGTGGGCGAGGTGCTCGTGCTGCTGACGCCGGGCACCACCCTCTCCGACTCCGAGGCGGGACTGGCGGCGCGGAGGATGGCGGCCGCTCTGAGAGAGATGTTCGCCAACCGTTACGCAGAAGACTTCCTGGAGGATGCCCTCGGTGTCAAGGCGGCGGACAAGCTTAGCGTGTGAGTTGGGGGTGGCGCTCAGCTGAAGACGGCCTATCCCTTACCCGAGCCCATCTTGTCCAATTACACGCTTTGTCCGACATGTTTACTCATTACAGTAGTCGTGGTCCCGGTTTAGCGGTCCATAGTGTCACAAAATGTCATCACGGCTATTGAGGGCGTCGCCGCTAAACCGGATTGGCAGCTGTATTGTAGTTTGACCACCGACGTGCACCCGTTTGACCACCGATGTGCACCCGTTTGACCACCGACGTGCACCCGTGCCACGAGATTTTGGGACCGCTATTCAGGGCATCCCGCTAAACAGGGAACCGCTAAACCGGGACCATGACCGTATCCCAACTTCCCCGATTGCATGCGTTATCCAACATGTTTACCCTAATTAGAACAACCCTGCGAGGGCTACTGTCGGTTGAAGACTTGGGTCGTGTTGTCTTATGTTGGTGTTGTCTGGGGGGGGCATGGACGTCGAGGACGTGTGAGGTTTGATGCGAGTACGGCAGCGGTACGGAGCAATTGATGGTGGCATTGTTAGTCACGTAATGCGTGGTTACTGCCCTAGCGGTGGTTTCCTTTTTTGTACCATACGTTTACCGGGCATGTTGGTGATTGGTCGCTTGACTCGATATTTTTTCTTATTTGGTGGTGGTCGTGGCATCTCGGTTGTATGGGGGCACCGTGGGTGGATACGGAGGGGGGCAAGATGAGCGTCACCACCATGGTTGGAGGACAAACGATTTT